AATAAGATCCTGGTTCTCCAGATGCAGATTATTACAACATTATAAATAGAATTAGTTATGAATGCGCTTCATGACACCATAACTAGGACATACTGCAGCATATATGTACAATATTTGAAAATGATTTTCATGTTTGTATGTCTTAGTAACTACACCCAGGGTAACTACTGGATTTGATGGGAGTTGAGAGACATGGAGATGATTTAGGAGGGAAGCTAGTCAGGCAGTCAAACACCACACTTTATAAAACTCCAAATTGTAGCTTCACTGTCCCCCCATGAATGTGTTGTCTAATATGATAGCCACTAGCCACATGTGGGTATTTAAATTTAGGTTGATAAATGAAATAAATGCTTAAAAGTTCAAATATTCAATAGCCACATGTGGCTAATGACTACCATATTGGTTAGCACAGGTATAGGACATTTTTATCAATGTAGAAAGTTATATTAGAAAACTATTCAGAAGCTAAGGTTCAAATTTAGGGTAAAGATAAGAAGAAGTAAATTATTTGGCAGTCTATTTCTGAATTCTTATACCCATAATGGAAATAATGCAATGTTGGCAAGAAAATATGAGAGAAGGAAATCACAGATATTCAGTATGTTTTTACTTGCATTAATGACCTTTTCTGAATACTTACTAATACACTTCAATTAATTTGCACCCCAAGACACATAGTCCATGGGGTGTACATCTTGTTTTATGAACATCGTATAGCAGAGGAGACTGAAATATAGATTTTAAGTACATTTACCAATCACAGCATGAAGGGAAATATAGCTGAATTTGAACTCAGGTAATTGGACTCCAGAGGCCTACCTGGCAACTAATCTGAAAAGCAGTGGATTGAATTAGTAATAACAACCTTTAGAAGAAAATTTAACTTTTTTCTATTTATTGTCACCCATCTTGGTTGTTTCCTGACGGGAATGGGAAGGGCTCTTTTGGAATGCATAACTGTTCTCTTATAGGTCAATCAACCAATCTATCAGTATTTTAGAAGCTATAAGTATGTATGTTGGATTAATCTTGTTGAGAGATAAAATCAGTAGAGTCTTGATGTTAGAAATTTTACTGTTCATCCTGTTGACTGCTTGCACACAATCCCAATAGCTTATTGGTAGTAACTTCTCATTTTGCTAACACAAAATATTGAATCCTACACTTTGGACACTATTGTACAATATAGCATGACTCTTGCTAGTGAGTGAGTGAGACTAAATTTCTGTCCAACTTAGGTTCAGCTTGACTGTTTTCTATTCATTATTCATATTCAGTAACTTTCAGAAAAGGTTTGAAGGTATTAAATTTTTCAGTTATGCTTTTCTGAATTTCTGGAAGGCATTTTATGCATGGTTATCCCATTAACTTAGTGAATTTTGAAGGCCTGGGAACATGTCCCTTGGGGATGTAAAACTTCTAATACAGAGTATTTGGTCCTGTTCTCAAGTCGATTATGATCTAGTTTGAGGAGGCAGTCTAGCATTCATTCATTCATTCATTCATCAATTCGTTTTTGAGAACATAATATTGTCTAAAAAAACTTTCCTGAGTAAACGAAGATAATATATAATTTAAATGTTGTAGTTATTTGAAGAATTGAGTGGTTAATACTGCTCAATATGCTCAATAAAACTAATATGGAAAACATATCAGGTGAACTATTGAAGGTTCTCTTTTAAATTCCTGATGAGCAGAGATCCTTATTTCTAGTTATATGTGATGGACTTGATAGGACTAATGAGTGTGACTTTAAAAAATCCTCAAACAAAATGTTTTATATGGATGAAAATTGGAAGCTTCTATTCACACTGTTTACTATTTTCCAGTCTTCAGCTGGCATGGGAACACTCAATTTAACAGCTCTTCCTCAGAAGCAAACACCCCATAAATTACCTAAATGCCAAGTAGTTAGATCAGGGTTACTGCTAAATTCTTCTACACTGGGAATTCCCAAGTTTTTCAGTATCAATAGCCAGCATCATTTTATTTGTCTTAAAATGACTTTCCCATCTTCCAGTACGATTGCATTGAATTTTAAGTAAATAGTGAGATTCTGGCATATGATAGGTACATGACTTTGTAAAGGGAAAATAAATGCTATTTTCATTTACACGCTTAGTGGTTGTCCTTGTAAATTCTTCAAGAGTGGGCTGAATGATATTTGAGGGCTTGTCACTTGTGCCTGTTCTTTCAAAATGTACCCCTTGGTGGATTAAGTGTCAAATCAATCTCTTGCTTCTTCAGTGCAAAATGGATATTTTGTTCCTTTTTGCCACACAGATCATGTACTTCATGTCATTTAGCAAGTCTGTAGCTATGTGACTTATTTTATACTTCCTAGATTACAATTTTTACCTGCAAACTCATATTGGTTTGAAGTGGTTTCACATGTAGTTTTTCCTGCCCACCAGGGATACAGGTGGTAGATCTTAAAGCGACTCATTGTTTGGATTTAATTATGTTCTTTTCCTAAACATAGTTTTTGCCTTATTCGTGTCTTTAAAAAGCTTTACCATCATCTCTTGGAGATTTTATTCAGCAGATTTTAAAAAAATATGTTTTGGCTGACATAACTTGCCTACTACTTTGATTTTTTTTAATTTGGTAGTATTGATAAAACATAAAAGACACTAAAAATCCTATTACTTGTTTTGGAATTATATAAAATAAGTAAATGTTCCTTGATACATCAATCAATTCCTTTCCTCAAAGGCAGTTACTATCAATTAGGCAGGTCCTTCTTGAATTATTTCTAAATCTACATTCTATAACTATGTAAATATTTATATATGTATCACAATATATTTACATGCAATTTAACTTTATATATGGCCAATTATATTGCATGTATATACACACACACTAATGTGTACACATGTATATACAACATAAAATGATACATTATGGAACAAATATCTGTTTGCAAATTTGTTTCTGCTTAAGAGTATATTCTGAACATATTTCTGGTTCAATACATGTACATATGTTGTAGTTTTATGATTATATAAAGTTTCATTGTATTTATATATTATATGCCATTCCACTAGCTCTCTTGATGTGTTTTTGTTTTTTTCCTATTCAATCAGTGTTGCAACAAATATACTTGTACATATATTTTAATCATGAATGCTATTTTATGTGTAGAATATATTCTTAGAAGTGAATTGCTAGACTTAAGGAATTTATATTTTAATTTCAATACATGCTAATTAATGCTTATGAATACGTTACAAGGGAGACATTATACTACACTATTTCTGATTGTTTTTATAACTCATCTAGGAAAGCATTCTTTTGAAAGCCATTACTTGATATCTGGGCAAAATCATTTAAGGAAATATTGTTATATAGGTAACCCTATATATGGTTTATATAGCTATAGTGCTTGAAGTATGTATCTGTGTATTTATGCAGAAACTTTGATTGCATCTATCCTAAATCAAATTCAAGTTGCAACAAAGAGATGGATCTTTGAGATTAGACAGACATGCATTTTGAGTGACGTAGTAACTGAATGTTTTAAGTTGTTATATATAATCAAAAAATCCCTGGAACTCTAGTAAGAACTCTAGTAAGAGTTGCATGTTGGCAGGACTTCACCAATCCACCTTAGCCACTATTTTATTTTTTTATAACCATCCTTGTAAATGAGTTCAACAATCAACAATATTTTGGTTGTATTTAAGGGTTCACTGTGAATATAAGAAAGATTTTATAAATTTAAATCACAGAGTGCTTCTTCTTTGATTTTTTTGCTTGTTGAGGCAAAGTCCTATGTAGCCCAGCTCACCCAAAGGCATGGCTCATTCTTTCACATCATAAAGAATTACATTCTTTAGTTTCATGGAATGTCATGGAAATAAGTTATGTTCTATTAAAGAAAAAAGATAACACTTGGTATGGTTCCAAGGGAGACTTCCTGCTTAAAATTTTATGAGATGGCTAACAGAAAACTCTATCCAGTTTCACCCCCACCCTTATCTTAAGCACTTTCTTATCCCAGAATAGAAATGATGCAGAAAGTAAACAATCTATTTCAAGGTCGGATAGCAGAGTTCAGACCAGAATTATGTTTGTATTATATGCTATTGCTATATCCTGTGGTTTAAAAGAAAATAGTCTGGAAAAAAGTCTGTAGAATGTTAGATTTTTGATAGAACATCTCACTCTGTCACCTAAGTTGGAGTGCGGTGGCATGGTCAAGGTTCACTGCAGCCTCAACTTCCTGGGCTCAGGCAATTCTCCTGCCTCAGCTCCCTGAGCAGCTGGGACTACAGGTGCACACAGTATCTGGCTAATTTTTATTTGTAGAGATAGGATATACTATGTTGCCCAGGTTAGTTGCAAACTCCTGGACTCCAATCTTCCTGCCTCGGCCTCCCAAAGTGCTGGGATTACAGGCATGAGCCACCACACACAGCAAATGTTATCATTACATTATTTTTAGCATTTCCCTTTCTTGGTATTGATGATTGAGACTTGTGATGTTAAATAATTCCGCTGCTCTCTTTTGACTTTATAATCCTTGTGTAATTTTTACAGTATGTGTTTATACCTGTAAGAATGCAGGTGTATATATGTTATATGTATATCATATTCATATAATATATTTGTGTTTCTCCCATTCCTCTTTCACCAATGAGAAATACATTAATAAGTACTTTGTGAAAAATACTGATAGAATGCTTAGATGAAAGGGAAGGCCATAAAAATTATAGAAGAGAAAGAGAATCGGCAGCCCGAGCCAAGAAAAGTACTTAACTATCTTTCCTTCTAGGTACGAAAAAGAAAAGGATATGTGCTTGCAGGAACACATTTTCAGTCCCTTACTGCCAGGTTAATTGCATAGCATTATATTTCCTTTCTAGGGTTCTTCACAAGCCTATTTATTGGCATGAGGTCATTCCAAAGCATTTTGTTGAAAACATGTTTTTAAAACATCATTGTGCTAACTTTGACAGATTTCTCCTAGAATGAATTTCTTTATTTTTCAGAATCTACCATTGAAGAAGATCCCATGCAAAGCCAATGCACCCTCGGGCTCCTTTTTTGCCCGAGACAATACAGCAAATTTCTTATCCTGGTGCCGAGATTTAGGGGTGGATGAAACATGTCTATTTGAATCGGAAGGTTTGGGTATGTATTTCCTTCAGAATTTTAGTTGATAAGATACTCAAGTTATCTTTTGTCTTTGTCAGTATAGCCATCAAAAAGTTTTCTGTATGATGTCATTTTGCAGATTATCAGCTTAAAAAGTCTGAGTTTGTTGAAAACTTGCAGGTTTGCTGCTAACTTGATACTTTGAAAATAGAAAAATGAATATGCCCTCTTACTATTGGTTACCTCATGGATACAAGAATAGAAACAGAAGTAGCACAATTCTTTCCAAGCTAAATACAAGGGCCATTAGTGTAAAACTGTGGGTATTTGGAAAACACAGGGCCAAATTTTACCCCCAGACTTTGATCTGGATTAAAGGGTAGCTGTGCGTGTTCTAGCCGTAGAGAGCACTCTTGTCTGTTCACCTCTACAGCAGTATGGAAACACTATTGCCCATAAGCTCTACCTTTATTGAAACTACAGATTATTAGTTCATTTATTTATTTTTTAGTGAGTTAAAAATCAGGCAAGAAAACAAGAGATTGATATCATCAAAGATGTTGAATTAAAAGACAGATACCTTAGTGCCTACACCTACTGAGATAACTGTCTAGATTTCTGTAGTTGTGTTCTGATTGGATTTTGGCAAAGTCACTTCCAAATCGTAGAATGAGCTTATTTCTTTGGAAGAAAACATATATTGGAGCATTCAGTGTTTCAATACCACTCCATGTACTAGGATAAAATGTTGAAACTTTCCTTGTAGGCTCCACCACAGTATAACTCGAATATGTAAAATAATAGAACTAAAGGCTCATTTTTGCAAAATGCAACCAAGTTGAGAAAGGAGACATCTAGAGAAAAAACCTTTGCTTTCTTTTTGCCTGAAGCCTTAAAAAGTCGACTTAATAGGTCATACAATACAGAATATTAATATCAAAGTAAGCTGAGCATCCTTCAGAGAGAACAAGTATACAAATTACCTTCCAAACAGCCAAAATGCCTATTGCCCCTAGGCCCCATTCCCATGCGTAACCTAGGAAATTTATGGAAACAGCTGAAATCTTACTCATTTTATCTGCTTAAGGAAATCTGTATTTGTTCTCAGAGGAGTTGGTGTGATATGGCAAAGAAATATCATCAAGTTTCTGAAAATTCTCTTAGCAAAGATGGGAACAGCATAAATTTAGCCTGGGGGAATATTCTAGACCTGAATTTAAAAAAAGGAAACAGAATAATCTCACAGTAGTCTGCTGTATACAATAGTGTGCTCATGAAATGCTCAGTAAATAAATCAGCTTTTGATTATTATTACCATTTCCTCATATCAAAGTAAAAAAATTTGGTGGAAGATGTGTGTGTACATAGATAATACCTGTTTTTCAGTCCTGTGGTTAATTTACAGATCAATTTTAACTTTCAGGTTTGTAGGAAACCATGTGAGTGGAGGATTATAGGAAGGGGGTATAGAAGAATTATTTGCACAATTAAATAAAATCACTTACAAGATCTGGTAAATGTTAAGATCTTGTAAAAAATATATAGCCATAAAATCAAATCTTAGTAACAAGTAGTACACTCTGCACATGTGGACAATTAACATCACGATTTAAAATTCTACAGTGCCTCTGAATTGCCAAAGAACAATCACATGGAGAACTATCGTTAATTTGCTAGTCTATTCATTGTACAATTTTTCATTAAAGAAGTATTTTCTCAGTGATTACTATAGGTGAAATTGGTTAATAAAATCTATGAATGTAAATATGGTCTTGTCTTATTTTCTCATTGTCCATGACTTCTTTTGTTATTCGAACTAATAAAATTTTCCTGTGGACACCGAAAAGAATCCATCTAATATTAAATCCTCTCTGCTAGAAATAGCACTATAGGTGAAGGTTCTCATGGGTATTTACTTTGATGGCTTTTAAAAACTCCATTCAAATAATAATACATTTTACCCTAAAATTATAAAGTTTAAAGCAACTTATATAATGACCCTGGTACATAAATGCATATTCTGTAGCAAACAAAATTATGTCAGGAAGAACTTTTAGATGCCCTACTTCTTCAGTCTGTTTGAAAAAATATATTCTGACATTATAAAATGTCCGTAATTTATATTATATATATATAATTGTACAAAAATTTTTGTACAATTTTTAAAGGTTATAAAAATTTAAAAATCATTTCTAAACTTATCAGTACCAAGTTAAGTTAATTAGTTAGGTTTTCCAGTTGCTGCTCAATGAAAAGATACATTTTCAATTTCTCCTGCTCAGAATAGAACCCAAAGTAATATATAATAGGCTCTAAGGATGTAATAGAAGGGGGTCAATATTATGGCATTGACTTTAGGATTAGTCAGAGAAAGGAAACAGCTGTGCTCATAGATGTTCATGATAATCAGGAGGAAGCACAATAAGAAATTCCATTTCCACAAGTGGAACCCTTTCTCCTTGTTTTCATAATCATCATCATTATTATTATTATTATTATTATTCATTATGGGTGAGGAAGAGATTGAGCCGCTGCTGATGACTTTGGACTCTACTTGCAGAAGTGACTTTCTTGCAACAATAACACTGTGTCCTCTGCTTGATGTCTTTTCACACTTCACTTTTGAAAGGAAATTTAGGGCAAGGCTTTTTTTTTTTTTTTTTACCTCAAGATTTCATTTCAGTGGCACAGAAGATGAAGCACATCCTTTGTGTCCTAGTGTTTTGAACAGCAAATAAAATGAAAAGATGCTCTGATGAACGGGAAAAAAATGTGTTTGAATGATAAAGTAGATCACTGGAGAGTGCGTATGAAGAGGCTTCTGTGTTTAGCTGTTCAAAGGTCTTTGCCTGCATAAAGCATCCTTATCTTTGTGGCAACTGATATGCTACCCTCTGTTGCAGTGCTTTTTTGTACAAGTATTTGTTAGAGGATCTTGATTCACAACTCACTGTTCTCTTTTCACAACAGCTAATGACAAGAAACCTCAGTGGGTGAGGGAAGGTGTGCAAGGGATGAACTGGGGAGAATGGAGAGCAACTAATTCCATATGTTTATGTCATGCTTCTTGTCTTTTTTATGCTTGGCAGGTAACTTCCTATGCCACATACAGGGTTTAACCTGCAATTTATACTCTGTGGCATTCTTTAGAGATAATTTTTCCTCTGTAGAATGTCCGTTCTTAGATCATATGTTCGCTACATCCTGAACTGTTTCAGAAATAAACCTATAGAAAAGTGGACATGAAGAACCTATTAGCAAAAGACTTATAAAAATCCAATTAAGATATTAAAATATTGGACAATTTAGTAATAAGGTAGATGTGAATAAAAGCTATGAAAAAATAGCTAAATTAAGAAAATTATATAGTTAGTATTGGTAAGTATATATTATATCAGAATCTTCCATACATTGCTGAAGAAAATTGGAAATTGGCATGCTTTCTTTGGAAGGCAATTTGATATTATATATCAAAGACCTCAGAAATATTTATACACTTTGATTAAGTTCTTCTGCTTCCAAAAATGTATTAAAAGGCAATTAGTAGAGATAGGAACCAGAATGTCTACTGAAACATTAACAAAAAATAGCTGGAACCCATGATATTTGGTAGCAGCTTAAACAAATTGTAGTCATCCATAGATACCATCCAAAGATAATATTCTTGAAACTATTTAAGGATATGGGAAATATGATATATGATTAACATGAGGTCACCCGTTTGTGTCTATATGTAACAATAAAATTTAATATTCAGACTTTGAAAGAAAAATAAATAGTAATTAGGTTGTAAATTATATCATTTTCTTTAATTATCTATTAACAAACAAACTTAAGATAGTGAACAATTATGGCATGTAATCTGAAACATGAACAATTGATTTATATTATGCAATTGGACCAATTAGCCTAGAGATTTATTGACATAAAATTTTATACATCAGTATATTAAAAGGATTTTTCACATTGTTGAAGTTAAACTGATATTTTAAGTGATTACAGAATTCTATGTTGTATCATAACAAAGGTTTTTGCGTGGTCTGCGGAGCATGTTGTAACCAGAAGGGTCTACGTATAACCCTCACTCTGACCCCTGCTGTTCAAACCGTGTTGACATACAAGTGACAAGGGAAACATTTCTTTTCATTACTCTGATATATTAAGATGAACAACAGTTTCATTCGATTCCTTTAAAATATTTAGGATTGTGCTTTAAGGTAAAAAGATGAGCATAAATATTTTGAATTCAGAAGTATGTAGTTGATCAGTCTATAAACAAAATAGACCCCAATAATTATTTCATAAGGAATTAATTTTTAGTGTAGAGTTAAAAATATATATATCTATAGAAGGCTCTAGGTGTGAAAGCATTTATATTTTCAATTTCACCAAAATGTAAAAGTTATTGGACTGTATTAATGAATAATCTTGCTAACAGTAAATTTAGTAATTTTTCAAATGTTCATTTAAGCACGTTTTCTAAAATGATGTTGAGTGTTTTTATGGGGCTCATTTTTACAATTTAAATTAAGATCAGAAATCTATACTTTATTTTCAAGCTTAAAAAGAGTTTTCAATTATGAATCATAAAATTGATGGTTTTATGTCATTTTTTACCAAGATATTTTGAGTAACCATTTTCTTAAATTACTGCTAGTCTTTCTGTACAGTTTATTATTTGTAATTTACATTGGCCTATCAATTTAGAAATTGTCAAGTTAACTTTTTTTGCTAGAAATTTGTTTATTTTGTTTTATTTATATATATTCTGGTGAGCTGGGAGCTGGAGAAAAAAGGAATGGGGAAGTACTTTAAAAATACACACTTTTTTTGCTTGCTATAATTGTGTCATATCATTATGTTATTGGATAATTATAGGACTTGGAATCCAGTGACTATGCTTCATCTATTTCTCTGAGAAAGAATCTACTCAACAAGAAAAGGGTTTGCTATCTGCGGTGTAGCATGCAAATGTGTGTGATTTGTTTGAGTATAACTTCAAAAACTTTTTATTTTCTGTGTTTGTGTTTGCTGTG